AAAAAAAGTACATTTAATTTCAAATACATTTATTTGAAATGCAAGAATTATTTATTTAAATGAATTGATTATGAAATAAAATTGTAATATTTAAATATTGATCAAAATATCATAGTTATGAGAAAATATCACGAGTTTTATGAGTGTTGCCAATAGGTTAGGAGGCGGTCAACGCCTTATCATTGGCCGGTATATCGAAAACCTCACGAAATAGTGGTCCAAATTCATTGTGATTCTCGCACTCCCTGTAATTGAGTTTATTTACCTCGTCCAGTTTTTCTAAGTACTCCAAAACATTCAAAATCCTCAAGAATTTGGCTTTCGTTTCGCATTCAGATGAATATCTTAAACGCAAATAGCGTTGAAGTAAATACATGTATATCTGCTGTTGGACTCTGTTATAAGAAATAGGAAATTAAATACAGAATATTCAACAAAATGATTAAAAAGCGCATACTTTACTAATTCTCTGTGAATAATGTTTGGTCTATCCGGGTTAAATAGTATTATAGGCATTAGCTGTAAAAATCATAAATTAGTTTATAATATTAAATAATAATAAAACTAAAATACCAAATCAATGATAAAAGGGTCAGAATCCCATTCACTGCCAAACTTTTGCAGGAAAGTCCTAAAATGTGTGTAACAGTCTCTTTTAACAGGTTTCAATAAATCCAGTTTAAGTATAATTGAATTATCCTCGTCCTGTAAATAAATAATTTAATTTAATTTAAATAATTTGTAAAATTTAATGTAAAAATAATAAACTTATCACCACACATCATCATACAAAAATAACATTAATAAATAAAACAGCCACCATGTACAAATATAGTTACTATAAGATAAAAAACAAAATGCTTAATAAATACCATATAAAAAGTCCAGAACTCGTGCTGATAGTCAAAGGTGAGGGCAGTCCTGAGTAACAGGGTCTCTAAACTGCTATATTTGATCAGGGCAATCTGGTCATTCTCGCAAATGTCATTAAAAGCGGACAAACTCTTGGTGGTGTCCACGAATCGCTGGACATAGACCTCAAATCTGCTGACAAAAAAATTGATGACATCCTCAACGGTCTGAGCCTCCAGTTTGTTCTGGGGTTGGGGTCTATTCAGTGACATCTGGATACTGAACAACTCAATCATGCGATTGCACTCAACCTCGTTGAGAGTGGTGTAGTCGTTGATAGTGCGGGGAATGGGCAGTACGGCTAACTCCAGTTCCACTGCCTTTTGGTATGTCCTGTCGGATATCTCGTCCTCCTCTACGATGGTGTTGGTCTCAGGGATGGCCAGTATGTTGTCCGCAGATTCAGTCGAGTCCTCAGTAGGACTGATGTATGTCTCGATGTCCATGAGATTTGTGATAATCTCGTCATCAGTGATGGTATTCGTGTCGAAGACATCGGCGATCGTCGAGTCCTCACCCGTTGTGTCCGTATATGATGTCTGCGGGGATGAGCTGGCGATCGACGACTCGTTGTATGTTTTGGTGGACTTCTTATCGTTTAATTCCTTCAGCTTTCGGTTCTCTTCGATCTTATTCTTCCGGACCTCCTTTTCCTCGTCATTCAAAATCCATTCCTATAATAGTTTATGAAAATTATTTGTATTTTATTTAATGAATAACTGAATGAATGGATTGAATACTTGTTTCATTCCGACGGCATAACACTTCCGGAGTCGACATTTGCGGCAGAATTTTCTGGTCACGACATTCACCTTACATTTGTCATCAAACGGACACTTATACTCCTGGATAATGAGTGGAGAATGACAAATATGTTAAGTAAGCAAGCACACAATTCACTGATAGTCACTATAAGTATATATTACATCCAATTTGGTGGCATTTCTCCGGAAAAATGCTTTACAAGACTCGCAAGAAATGGCACAAAAGTTGTAACCTTTTAATAAATTAATGAAATAATGTTAGAAAAATGTGTGAATTCCGTGAAATTCTAAATGTACTGAAATATAGCGACAATTAATACGGAAATAAATGATGAAATACTAGTGAAAATGTATTGTATTTTATTGCGCTAATGATAATCAAAGTCATTCATACCGATAGCCTTTTCGCCACAAATTGAACAGATTTTTGTAAACTTTTTTGACGGCATTATGTGATTATTTAATAATTATTATTGAACAATATAAGCCAATTAATGTGTACTCATTATCACATAAAATCAGTATGTGTTTTATGTGAACTAAACATGTTAAAATTATTATTATTATTAGCAAATTGATGGCTAGACATCAGATAATCACCACTGGATACACACA